TAAAAATGCAGTGCACACATACAGGAGATTTTCAAGATTTCTACATGTAGTTTTTAAAATTCTTCAAAAATTCATCATTTCATTTAATGGACATTTACACCCACACGAATGACTGTTTGGTGGCTACTCTAAGATGACAGGTAACCTTCATTGACTCCTGAATATTTCAGCCAGGCCTGCCGCCCTGTAAAGAGAGCCCAAAATTGAGGTGTTGCGTAATTTCCATTGTCCCCAGTGATGCGAGAGGTGTCTTTTCAAATGCGGCTGGATTAGCATGCAGTGGTGCTGTGTCACTCATCAATGCAGCCCTCGGGCACTTTTGTCCGCGGTGCCAATCTGTGGGCGTGGCATGCCCAAAACAGTGGTGTACTATTTAAAGACAGTGACGAATTACCTTCAAAAAATGCATGCCAAAAAATGATGGCAATTCCTAGCAGCAGGTCTTTTGTTCCGAGTACGGTCTTTTGTTACAGGGACCAGCTCTTTTGTCCCATGGCATTTTGGGCACCCCGGCTCTGCATATAAACCCATAGTGCTCAAAACAGGGTTCCCTGGCATGCCTGGCAGCAAGTGGTGAACTTCTAGAAGTTGCTTTGAATCTGACACTTTCCAGGGTCAGTGTGCCACGCACATCTACATGTACATGTAGCTTAACAAGTTAGGCTGTCTGAAATGGTTTAGGCTGTCCAGAGGATGCTGGGATAACCATAGTAAAATTTTGTATTCAAAGAATCATAAAGCATTTACCTGTACCGGTATGTACCTGTCAATGCTACCAGTATACTTCATGCAAGTGTACAATGTACCGGTACATGTACATGTACCGGTACATGTACATGTACCAGTAGGCAGTAAGTGTACATGTACTTGTACATGTACATGTAGGTGAATCTACGAGGTCATGCAACTTGGTTGCTTTAAACTACATGTAAGTTTTCATCCAGGATCCGGAAGGGAATTGTCCTCTTTTTCCCCCACAAAAAATGGTTCGTTTGTTTGTTTCTTTGTTTTTTGGTAGGATTTTTGATCTCCCCAAATAGGCATGTGTGTCATTGTTGCCGTATAATACTTACTGTTTCTTCTATGTGCTTTGGTGTCCCCTGTTACATGTAGAGTTAGTGTTTATATCATTGTGAAGGTACATCATCTGATTTTAAACTTTTGTTTTTATCTTATATGAATCATTTTTATGAGTGTTTGCAGGGCCCCAATGGAAACCAGTTTTAATAAACTGTTTGGGAATACCCTGGCCCCCAGATAAATGAAATACATGTAAACAAATAAATGGAAAAGTAAAAAATGGAAACAATGTGATTCCTAACTGGGTTCACTAACCAAGAGAGTAACTATTTTCCTGTTTCTTTCTAAGACCTGGAGAGTATTATTGAATTATGTGTGTGATGTGTCACATCCAGGCATAATGTTCCCTTCCTGGTTAAATCCCTTGCAAATCTTTGGCCCCCACTGGTACTTGTGAGCAAGAAAAAAATATACCGGTACTTGTACATGCACAAATTACACTTGATTCATTTTTTAAAAGCATAATTGTGAACTACCGGTATGAACATGTACATGTGCCCTGTACATGTACAGGTATACATGTACATGTGCAGTACACGTACATGTACAATGTGCATGTACAAAACATTCGCACATGTACATGTATGTACACGTACGTGTACAAGTCCCGGTTCACACATGTACAGCGTACGGTAATTTCCAGTAAATGTGATTTGTGAAGTTTTACATGTTTTGAAGTTAATTCCATTTACCATGTTTACATGTACACTGTACATGTACGTATACAGGAATATACATGAAGGCTTATCCTTATTGTACACTTGACTGAAATTAATCATTGGAGAGAGTCATTTTTGTGGTGCACACATTTTCAGCAGCTGCACAACATTTCACACAGTGTCCATGGTTTCAGGCCACTCAAAGTAGTTGCTAAGTCTTCTTTGTTGCTGCTGCTGTTTTAGCAGGGAGCTTTATCCATCAGTCATGTCAGTGAACTTGCATATTTAGACCTTCAATGGATCGTAAATGTACAAAGGTGTGAGTTGCAAGAGTCTGGGTTGGCTAATTGAAATCATGATTTCATTAAAATGATTCTTTTAAATCACTGATTTTATTCAACATTTAAAATCTTTTTCCTGAAGAAGGCAAGAATTGTTTAATTTTTTGTCTAGATTTTTCAACCGATTTGTAAATGTTTTGCAAATAAGAAATTCCCTTTTGTGAACCCTTCCCTACTTACAGCACATGTGATGAGAAACTTATACCGGTAGGTGTACAGTACATGTCTTGCACACATTATCTGGATTGGCAGGAATATTCTGTTCAATTCCAACCACTTGCTTTTTATATAAATCAGCTTTTCAGATTCAATGCATGAATTCATGTAAATTTACATTACAATCATAATTTCACTTGATTTAAATCGTCAAGCTCTCTATCGGTATAGCTGGGTTGGCATTCATCGTGTGAAGTTCTTTTGTTAGGGAAATTTGAACCGAGTTGTGGGGACACTTCTGAGTCCCAACAACGTTTTCAGTCTCCACAAAACACCGGTGGGTGAAATGTGGAGTGTACATGTATGTCCCCACAACTACGGTATAGGAGTGTGTGTACTGGTACATGTACTATCTGCACAAGTACATGTATACATGGGATTCGAAAGGTTGGCACTGTAATTACCATGCAGTGAAACCAAAAACAGTTTAAACAAATGTTCTTAATTCAGTAAGTTTTAATCCAGCCTGAGTCCCAACTTCATTAATCACAAGAGGCTGGATCACAAACCAACCTACATGTACATGTATCATAATGAGACAACGTTTTCATGTTTTTGCAGACATTTATCTGGTTTTAGGACCCAGAGCTCTACTTCTTAAATAGAGATGTCCCAGGACAAGATTATTTTTCCAAATAAAGTCTAAAAAGTCAAGTACATTTTGGGAAGAGTTCCATACATAAACATCACTTATTGGTATTTTCCCTGTAGTTGTTTAGTAAGAAAAGATAACATACCGGTTTATCTGAAAATGTTAAATTTACCTAAAGCAGGTAAAATATGTTCATTTACCAGTACTCAGAAAACACATGTAGAAGTGTTCAGACCAGTCTCATACGGTTTTGTGCACAGGTGTCTAGTGATGTCCATACATATACAACGTACCTGTTAAACACTTCCTGTATTTTCAGTGAATTTCAAATGCCTACATGAATTCCAATTTTTTTTAGGTTCTAGGCATTCCCCACATGAATTTGTAAATTTGGGCTCAACCAGTGGATCTACACAATTAAAATGCAAGAAAATCGGTCACGTCTGTCAATGCCAGGGGAATCAACCGGTCACCTGTTTTCCAAGACAGGCATGACAGGTACATGTACATACATGTATCATGTATACTGGTACATCATTATGTACCAGTATGGTTCATGTAGACATGGCCAATTGTTTTAGAGAAGGAACTGTCTGGAATTTAGCACAGAGTGCCCAATTTGACCAATACATGTACATGTACATGTAGGCCTAAGCCTTTTGCATGATTAATTTGAATAAAATCTGGTGCACTGAGTTTACGTGAATTTAAAGGACAACATGTAAGTGTGCCAGATTTTACTCAAATTGAACTCGCAAAAGGCTTGTATGTATCACACAGATCCACACTCGGGCTATTGTTGATATACCGTACCCTAACGTGGTGAGACTCTTAACATAGCACACTTTTATTTTTTTCATTTCTTGTGTTTAACGGAGCAATAATTTCAGCTCAATTTCACAATTAGTGAAACTTCATCAACTGCATGTAATATTCTGACTCATACATGTACATGTAAATCTCTATTTTATGTACATGTACCTGTTGCAAAATTTGAAATGTCATTTTCCCTGATTTTCCGACTTTTTCTGGCTTGCCAAACGAACTCTTTAAAAATGTGCCCAAAATAAGGAAAAAGAATTTTCTAACAAACTTGTGCAAATTGTGGATGGATGTTTGAGTGGCAGCAATAATACTTTACAAGGATTTATCAACTTGAAATGAATTTGTTCCTATTTATATGGGATTTTCTGCAAGTTTCTTCAAGTGTGCACGTGCCGAGTTAAGGACCACTTAGCCCAGGTTGGACGCCGTTTTCATTTATTTAGTTGTAATGTAATGAAGACGTCGTCCAACCTGGGCTAGGGAACACTAAGCTGAATTAGAGCCCAATTTCCGGATGCCGACTGTCATGACTGATTGGATTTCGAACGAAATTTTGGGACACTGAAAGTGCCCATAAAGGTTCAACATCATCATGACCATGTATCATGAAGGTAATCATATACGTGTAGGCCTTAGGAAATGAGTTTTAAGGTTTTCAAAGAGAGGTTTGGCAATGCTGTGTGAGGAAAGTCAAGTGAATACATGTCTAAGTGTGCCAAATTAGCTGATTAGGGGACTCAACAACACATACCGGTATCATTTAGGCTACATGTGTCATAGCAGGCATGATTGACCACTTGACTGAGTGATACAGCAGCCTGTACTGTGACATGTGTGAGGAAATGTACAAGTACATGTAGGCCTAAAACTTGTCTGGGTAACTTCATGAACTTGAAAGTTGGATCCTTACAAATCGCCTTGTTTTAAAGACTTGGACATGATCAGGTGACTGTAGGGTCAAAGTACCTTCCATACAGCGTTTCCTACTTAAATGTGAGTAGGCCTAACCTTATCATCATTTTTGGAATCTCCGATTCTCACTTGATCCTACGTGTAAGCTGGACGCATTAGCATGATAGGACAGTTTAACTGTTAAAGAACCATTTTGGAGGCAAATTGATTCGGGGTATCCAAGGCCTATGGAAAGTACTCGGACCCCACTACTACTCACTAGTAGTACAAATGTTTAAAAAAGGCGATTTGTAGGGTCCAAGTTAGGTCGAGGCCTACTCAGCCAGCTGCATGTACAATTACATGACTATATACATAAGCCTATCGTGTATTTACCAGTGTTTGTGACCAAATTCCACCACACCAGCAGCTCTTCTACGGCCGAGCCTCACAAACTGCCAGCTGCAGATGACGGAAGAAAATCTTTGTCTCTTCAACTTGCAAGCTTCAAGGAAGCAAGGGCATCATCAATATGTATACATTTATGTAGGCCTGTCATGCCTGTGTGTTTAAACGTTCGAAATAAAAGGCTTCACAGCAACGGCAACACTGACCTGACAGCGTGCGATATACGTGTACATACAGTAAGTATGCACAGAGCGCGTGCAGCGAGCTGTTCCCTGTGAGAGGTACAGCAAAGATTGTACAGCGCCGCTTTGCGGTGTAAGAACGTCCATTCACCAAAGATAGTGCGCCGCGCCGCTGTACTAGCGCTATACAATCTGTGATGCAAAGATCGTACGTGTCAGTGGGAGACTTCGAGATGCTTGGTGGCGACAAGATAACGAAATGGCGAGGTAACGAATGATATGAAACATGAACATTTAAGAAGTGAGCTATTCAAAATTTAGGAAGATAGAGTTTTTGACCTTGAAGAGAAAAGACATTTATGACTATATACATAATAATAATAAAAACGCTTTTCATACCAAGTATGTCAAAGCGCAGGACAATATGGACATTAAAACGATAAGATAAAAACATACACAATCATATCTAATTATTACAATTAGTTAAAATACTCATTAAAAAGGAAGGTTTTCAGACGCCTTTTAAAACCATCATACGATTGAAACTGATACGTGTATATCGGAGCTCGAGTCCATGGCAGACAAAATGAGCAAATACTTCATCACTAACTACTTGTTCGAAATACCTTTATTGACGTCAAACAATTGCCAATAAGAAAGCTCAAAGCTCAGAACAGAAATGAAGTTATAAACCCTGGCGGGAGAAGTTTACAAATAGACAAATAGCAGTTTAACAACAGGGCACCAACTGATTGAAGGAAAGACACTCAAGAATCGTAAAAGGAAGCAATTCGACCTGGAACACAGGTGAGAAAGCAAGGGGAAGCCTTGAAGAGAGGCCTGGCAAAGCATGCCAGAGGGGAAAAAACACCTACTGGGGGAGACAAATTGCGGCTACAAATTTTTACTTAGGAATTTAGGTATTCAAAAATTTTGGCATTTAGAGTTTTAGTTATTCAATTTACTCTATCTTCCTCTATTTCTGAATAACTCACCTCTGTGACGTGACAGAGGGCGCTAATCACTAAAGGCGCTCTGCCCAGTAACAGGTCTGTGCAGACATTAAACGTATTGGGTGCGTTCGATTAGCTTACACGTGTAACTTAAACTTACACAAGAGCGTTCGTTTAGCCATCACGTGGATCCTCGTGTCTGCCCTGGTGTCAGTCACCACTACCCCAGCTGGCGAGCGGGTCTCTGGAGGCTGCCCAAGTGTAATGACGTCACGGATAGACTGTTCGTGCGTGGACATGATGGAACTGGCGGGGACTTGACCTTTTCCCCAGAATGCCTTGGCGAATACGCTGCAGGGTTCGATTAGCCTCATTTCGAGGCTTCCCTTGCGTTTAAGACTGGTGTATTCGGGGGAGCTAATCGAAGGCACCCATAGACCGCCGGTCTTGCGCATATAACTGTGATTTTGAAAAGTATGGGCAAACACTAGGCGGAACGGTGGATGACAGCGCGTTCAGTGCGCATTACGCGCAACGCACTTATATTTCCTGTATTTGTGTACACGTGCTTCCAAATACGTTCACCTTTTTGCTCTTCAGTACTGCCATCTTTTCTTTTCAAATGTTGCAAATACATTGTTTTGAATCCCTGAGGGCCAGATTGAGTAAATAGAGGGGGTTTTTACAAATCGAAAAATGGCGTCATAGAATTTTATGGCTGGAACTCTTCAACTGTGTGTAAATTCCCTGTACCGAGGGGTGAATTTGCCCATAGTTTTGATTTTAGTGGGGCGCCACGCAGATCACGAAAAACCCTTGTAGTTTTCAATAGGGCCCGGCGGTCTATGCGTTTATATGTCTGTGCAGGCCCGGGGCAGATGTTAGGCGCGCATAGCTGTGTGTTAAGCGAGCGTGGCGCATAGGCTCTGCCTTGCGCGTAGGGCGATTGGTTAACGGAAGTCACTGCGTCTGCCTGGTCACATGTAGTGCGTGCAGGCGTAGTTGCAGCAGTGGCCGGCTTGCAAAGCTATGAAAAGGGCACGCAGGCAAGGTTTAGTCGTCCTGAGTCAAGGGCTGATCCTGAGGTGTATGTAAGGGTCGAGAATCCTGTGCAAGGGTTAAAAGTCACCTAGCATAATTATAGCTCCATGCTGTGACTGTGCCACAGTCCCGAGTGGTGCGTGTGTCGTTTCGCGTTGCAACATGAGGGGCTCGGTAGGTTGAGGGGCTAATTGATGGTGCGGTATAGTTCTGATAGGAGCTTGCAGTCTATATGAGGGCGGATTGATATCTCGTTACGTGAGTTGCGTGTAGCGCAGCCCTGACAATAAGCCCCGAAAACTTGGTAAAGTCCCTGATTCGGCACTTGATGCCCACAATCTCCCCGTCAATAGCACCCTCTACTGGTGTATTGGTTGAATGTGATTGAAACGCGTTGATTGAAATTAGGTACTTTGATTGTTGTAAATAAGTCGATGTCAAGACGAAGTTTATTTCCAGTCAGTTCTGTCCGGGTTACGTCACTAAGTTTTGACCAATCAGGTTAGGCATCATCTCAACGAAGACCAGAGATCATTGAACTTTCTTGGAACACGATATACTTCCAACTCAACGCACTCGTCCATAGCCGCTCAGCGACTCTCCGGTACGTGCCGTCCGACCGTCGCGCTTCGAGGAGGAGGGCGTCCTCGCCTTCGTCGGAGGTGTGCAACGTCACACTTCTTAAATGATTCAAATTTCACATTATGTAGTTACTGAGGAATTTGGTTATTTTGTTTGGTATATATTTAAGTTCCGAAATACATTCATATTTAAGAGTATCTGAATGACTAATAAATACCTATCTTTCTAAATATATAAATTCCTGAATGACTCATCCTCCAAAAACCTATTTTTCTAAACAAATCATTTCTTAAGTAATGGAGTTTGAAATGATTTCCTTGGGAAATGAGCTTCTTAGCTATAAATATCAAATTGCAAAACGATTTAATCGGTAAATACCAAAATTTCTGAATACCCGAAATCCCAAATAACTCAAATTCCAAATAAATTCCTTACTCGTAGATATTTAGATACTGTTTGCAAAAGAACATGCATATTGAGAGCAATAGAAGTTTTTCAACATCTTTTGTAAGAATTCCTTAAACAGCAATCTCAGACTTAGGAGATTAAAGTCTATTTTCACTGCAAAAGCACCATAAATCATAACAATGACAGTGGCTCTGCTTCAATTTATGATGGCCTTTGATACCCAAATATAACTTTAAAAAAAAATTGCTGACAGGCTTCATAATGATGGTCTTGCAGCCTCACTTTTACTTCTTCAATAGCACCAGTCTCAGATTAATGTTCAACTGAATGAGCCTGTTTTTCCAATACATTGCAAGTACTCTCCCTTTGGCCATTTTTGGCCTTATTCTCACTTTCTATGACAAGAGACGTCTATACATGTCCCAATTCACAGCCCATGTAAGTTTACCACACAGGTGTTTCCTGCATACTTGTCATATGGCAGATTAACAACTTTATACATTCCTCCTTTGTTTTGTTTATTAATTACTACTTATCCTGCAATGTATAATTCGTATAAAGCTATGTTATGCCTTAAATATATCCCCATTAATTCCGTGACTGGTTCAGTACCACTTGCTTACTACAAAAGAAGGCAAAAATGTAATTGTCTCTTGTCTGGCAACCCTTTATCACAACTTACACTGCCCCTTTATATCACTTCTCACCTTTAATTTGATGTTATAAGCTTTAATGGATTCTTTTGTGAATTAAATATAGCACCATTAATTATAAGATTGGTTCAGTGCAACTTGCAGCCCAACAATTAAACAGGGCAAAAAATGCCCCATTATTTCTCTGGAACCCTTTCTCACACTTTACATGTACACTGCACCTTTAATTTGCTGATATAAGCTTTAATAGCTTGTTCAATAATTTTTAGGTTTTTAATATACTCCCATTATTCTGTGATTTGGTCATCACAACTTGTATCCCACCAAACAAGGGGAAAAATAATGCATCTTTGATTCTCTTTAAAACTCTTCATTGGTACTAACTTTCACTTGCGGTTATCGCCATTCAAACCCTTATACAACAAATGATATTGAAGGCTGGTGTAAGTACATACTAAGTATAGTCATTGTACTTAGATTTGTCCCACGGAGCTAATCTCGTCTGGCTTCATTGTGAAGCATGTAAACATGGTTAAGCATCTAGAGTTTTCGTATTTCATCTGAAATGAAAACGAGTTCCTAAATACGCGTACAGTTCTAAATATCTACCGGTATATTGCTATATCATAATAAATCTCAAACTACCAACATTTTCTGAATTCCTAAAGTCCTCAATAACTCCGGTTTAAAATAAATTCCTTACTCAGAAATATAGTTATTTCGGTATTTAGTTATTTTGTTTGCTTATTTTCAAAATATATGGATACAGGCCATCAGCTGAATAGGATGCCTAGAAAAAGACTTCTGTCTTTAAATTGCAACGACCGGCTTCGTTGCGTCTTGCCCTGTAGTCGTGGCGTCACCCCCTTTCTCGTTACTTTTAAGGTGCCTTAATTTACATATTACGTAAACCACGGAAAACAAGCTGCCACCCCAGTAAGGTACAACGGCGAACCACAACGGACCCCTGTACGTACACCAACTATAATGTATGCCACTGCCGTAATTTAAACCGAACCACCGCAGACACGTGTGCGTACACATGCACATAGCCCCACGTACGTACGTGCGTCAGCTGTTCATACCGTGATGCCGAGTCGAAAAACCGACCAGGACGAGGCACGCACGTACGTGAGCAAGCTGAAAGTGGGGTAACGGCTTCACTGGGAATCGGATGTCACTCCCAAAGCATAACGGCCCGACGTACTGTGCAATGTACCGTAGTGAAGGGTATTGCGCAACACACCGTGAAGTGTTTCCGCCACGCACGTACAGCAGGCCTTACGGCCGGGGTTATCAAAATCATCTACGCCTTGATCAAGGCTACGTCCTGCGGTGTTGGAGTATTCGTACTCGTACTTGAGTACATGCAAGTACTCGGCCCGTACTCGCCTTTCAGTACTCGAAATTTATTTGGACTTGGCCAGTACTCTATTCTTTGTACTCGAATGCTGCCTGTGCTCGAGCGTCAATTACTCAGCACTCGGCCCCAGTACTCGAGGGTATAATTCGAGTACAGCACTTGATCGATTCCTCTCGAATGCATCAACAGTGCTGGGCGTGGCGGCTTAACGCACGCTGGGTACGAGGATTGATCTTTTAATTTTTTAGTTTAGTTCCCGTCTCCACCCCGCGGATGTAGTACTGATTTGTGAGTCCGGAGTCAGGCTAGAGTCAATACGTTCATGCCACGTTTTAGTGGTACGTTGTGCATGCACGTGAGGACGACGCATTTGTTCATGTACGTATTTCCGTGCACAGATCATACTGAAGTTCATGAGCACGAGGGCCACACATATTTCACTTTTCTTTGCCTTTCAATCGTTGAATATGTCGTCGATTTCTGATAAAATTAAATAGGGCTATGAAGATCACCAGGAGTTCAGCGTCAAGTATCCATAAGCCACACTGTTTGTTTAGAAAGAGTAAAAATAATCATTGCCAGTTATGCATCGACATTTTCACATGAATAAAAGGTGTGAATATCCACATGGTAATGCAGATATTTGTTACATGAAGACTACGTGCCTGTGTATCTCAGTTTTAATTATTTACGTATTTGTTCATTGTATTGCTTTGCAATTGTACTCAGACTCAAACTAAGGTACTTGCGCTCGGTCCGCCTACTCGGCCTTTGATGTACTCGGACTCAGAGATTTGGACTCCGACTCGTCACCAGTGTACTTGGACTCGTCCCCTAAAGTACTTGGAGTACTCTTTACTCGGATTTGAGGACTCGACTCCAACACTGAAGTCTTGCCATTTCATCGTACTCTCGCCGTCACCTCATTACTGGTGGAAATAGGGGCGCCCTTAGAGACGGAGCTAAGTTCCCGACCAATAGATACCATCACATGATGACATCTTAGGCGTGCAGACCACCAATTCAAGTGAGCATTTCTGACCAGCTCATTAGCATTAAAAGTGCCCCCTTCCACAGTATCTTTTGAAAAAAGAGATTGTTTGGCCCCCAAAATGGTCGAGAT